GCCCGAGCAAGAGCGAGACTGGTCTCTACTATAAATAGAAAGAAATTAATTGGCCAACTAATACATATAGAAAAAAATTAGCCAGGCATGGTGGCACATGCCTGTAGTCCCAGCTACTCGGGAGGCTGAGGCAGGAGGATCGCTTGAGCCCAGGAGTTTGAGGTTGCTGTGAGCTAGGCTGACGCCACGGCACTCACTCTAGCGTGGGCAACAAAGTGAGACCCTGTCTCAAAAAATAAATAAATAAATCAGTGGGAGGTGAGAGACTCATCCCTGTGGTTCTAGGCAGAGGGAACAGTCAGCGCTGAGCTATGGGAGACGCGTGTCTTTGTTCAAGGAACAGCCAGGAGGCACCTGTGGCTGAGGTGGAGCGAGGCAGAGCACATGAGGTCAGAGAGGGGCAGGGGCATACGTGCAGAGCGTGAGAGGCACGTATTCAGAGGGTGGTAACAGATGAGCAACATTGCATGGGGTGCAATCCCAAATGTTTTACTGCTAGGCTCCACAAAGTTTGGAGACTACACATGTGCAGAACTCCACAATAAGCCCACTGTTTATTGGAAGAGGTAGCATGCGAGCTGTTTGCAAGATAAGCAGAACTTAAACAGGGAGAGATGCAATATGCCTTCTCACACTAATTGCCACCGCTACACTAAACCCTGAATGAAATGGACCCACAGCAAACATGTGGACCAGTGAGGGCGGGAAGAACTACAACCATGGTAGAATGGCAAGACAGTTTCTGTTCATTGTGAAGCTCCTCACTTCTAGTTTTAATGCTCGGAGAGAGGCAATTACAGAATCAGTCTTCCCACTTTGCCAGTCAAGGTCCATTTGCCTGTGGGAAGCAGTGCGAGGGCTCCTCACACATCCATCCTAAATAAAGCAGGGCACAGCTAGAGTTGGCAACCTGAGAAGGATAACCAGGCCAATTAGCAAAGGGGCACTAGCCCAGGGACTTCATGCTGTCACAAAGCAAAGGAATTCTTTGAGCATGGCCGCTCCAATCTCCCAAAGGTGAACCTTTAATCTTGCAAAGGAAACTTTCACTGAATCTAAATTTTCCCCTTCTTCCTTTGAGTGTGCTTTTAAAGATTTGAACAGGTACCCACTTAACTTGAAAAAAAACTCTTTCAACTACCCAAACTAGAAAGAGAATCCTCCCCAAGCAACAGAAAACATACTATGGCAGCCATTAAAATAGGCCTCTCAGGTCTGCTGCTGTGGGAAACAATAACTGAGTGATGGTCCCATGGCTGCCCCTCTATGCCACCAGGGTAACATCTAGGTCTCACTTTTTGGGGACTCTTTTCCAGCCAATGAGCACAGTGGAGGTACAAATGCAGCCCCATTCTGGCAAGATGCTGACTCCTCCAATGGGTAAGTCTGGGTTGAGGATTCTCCATTGACCAGCTATGTTATAGAAATTATCTGAAGAACAGAGAGAAATGTTTGGAGGGGGAAAAAAAAGAAACAGACTTAGGGACTTAAGAGACTGTACAAAGTTTAGCATATTTGTAATTGAAGTCGCAGGAAAGAAAACATGAGACAGGAAAAAGATATGAAGAAATAATGGCTGAAATTTTCCCAAATTTGATTAATGGCATAAATTTACAGAGCCAATAAGTTCAAACTCCAAGGTAAATACATAGAAAACCTCCCCTAGGCACACCTGAAAGCAGCCAAAGAAAAAGACACATATAAAGGCAACAACCATTTGAATTCCAAAGGCTTGGCATCAGAAATAAGGTAGGCAAGAAGTCAGTGGAGCAAGATCTTCAAAGAAATGGAAAAAAAGAAAAAAAGACAAACACAGAATTTGTTGCCAGGAGACCTGTGCTACAAAAAATGCAAAAGGAGCCGGGTGCAGTGCTCACCGCTGTAATCCTAGCACTCTTGGGAGGCCGAAGCGGTAGGATATCTCAAGGTCAGGAGTTCGAGACCAGCCTGAGCAAGAGTGAGACCATGTATCTACTAAAAATAGAAAGAAAGTAATTGGACAACTAAAAATATATAGAAAAAATTAGCCCGGCATGGGTGGCACATGCCTGTAGTCTCAGCTACTCGGGAGGCTGAGGCAGGAGGATCGCTTGAGCCCAGGAGTTTGAGGTTGCTGTGAGCTAGGTTGACGCCACAGCACTCTAACCCAGGCAACAGAGTGAGACTCTGACTCAAAAAAAAAAAAAAAAAATGCTAAAGGAAGTTCTTCAGGCTGAAGGGAAATACTAGATCTTCAAGAAAGAATAAAGAATATCAGAAATAGTAAATATGTGGATAAATATAACTACTTTTCCTAATTTCTTTAAAATACATGATTATTTAAAGCAGAAATCATATTATAGGGCTTATAATGTACATAGATCTAATATGTATGACAACTATAGCATAAAAGGAGACAGTAAATGGATAAATACAGTTGTAAGATTTCTACATTTTATGTGAAGTGGTACATCTAGATAGACTTTTTTTTTTTTTTTTTTTTTTGAGACAGAGTATCACTGTGTTGCCCAGGCTAGAGTGAGTGCCATGGCTCAGCCTAGCTCACAGCAACCTCAAACTCCTGGGCTCAAGCAATCCTCCTGCCTCAGCCTCCCGAGTAGCTGGGACTACAGGCATGTGCCACCAGGTCCGGCTAATTTTTTTCTATATATTTTTAGTTGGCCAATTAATTTCTTTCTATTTTTAGTAGAGATAGGATCTTGCTCAGACTGGTTTCGAACTCCTGACCTTGAGTGATCCTCTTGCCTCGGCCTCCCAGAGTGCTAGGATTATAGGTGTGAGCCACCATGCCTAGCCTAGATAGGCTGAAAAGAATATGTTAGTCCCTTCAGCATCAACTAAAAAAATTATGCAAAGAGTATAACTAAAAAGCCAATTATAAAATAATCCATAAAAAGTAAAATGTTAGAACTAAATCTACCAATAATTAATGTTAATAAACACTCTAATTAAAAGGTAATGACTGGCTAGGTGCAGCACACCTGTATTCCTAGCACTTTAGGAGGTCAAAGCAGGAGGATCACCTGAGCCCAGGAGTTTGAGTTTGCTGTGAGCTAGGCTGACACCACTATACTCTACTACCTGGGGCAACAAAGCAAGACTGTCTCCAACAACAACTAAAACTAAAATACCAGACAAGTTAATTTATCCCATTATATTAAGAACTTTTTCTTTTTAACAGACTATTTTTTAAAAAGGCAGAGACAGTGAGAATAGATAAAAATGCAAGACCTAAGTGTATATATATATATGTTGTTTATAAGAAACTCACTTTACATAGAAAGACACAGAGAGGTAGCAAATCATAATAAAAAAAGGAATACTGTGCAAACAGGAGGCATAGTAAGCATAAGGCCAGAGTGGCTATATTCACATCAGATAAAGTACACTCTGAACCACATGTATTACCAGAGATGGAGGAAAATTTTATAACGATAAAATGCTCAATACATTACATTAGGATGTAACAGAACCTTATAACATTCAAAATATGAAACAAAAATTGGTTGAATTAAAAAAGAAATGGACAATTTCACAATCATAATTAAAGATTTTTTTTTTTTTTTTTGAGACAGAGTCTCACTTTGTTGCCCAGGCTAGAGTGAGTGCCATGGCGTCTCACAGCAACCTCAATCTCCGGGGCTCAGTGATCCTACTGCCTCAGCCTCCCGAGTAGCTGGGACTACAGGCATGCGCCACCATGCCCAGCCAATTTTTTGTATATATATTTTTAGTTGGTCAATTAATTTATTTCTATTTTTGGTAGAGACGGGGTCTCGCTCAGGCTGGTTTTGAATTCCTGACCTTGAGCAATCCGCCCGCCTTGGCCTTCCAAAGTGCTAGGATTACAGGCGTGAGCCACCACGCCCAGCCCATAATTAAAGATTTTAACACCCTCTCTCACCTGACAGAAATAAACAAAAAGCATTTAAGATACAGATGATCCTTGTACCCCCATAATATGCTGAAATAAAAAAAAAGATACAGATGATCTAAATCAGGCATCCTCAAACTACGGCCTGCGGGCCACATGTGGCCTGCCGAGGACATTTATCCTGCCTGCCGGGTGTTTTTGCTGCCACTGCCTGTCCTGGGCCACAGTGCGCTGCACTCTCCAATGGCCCTCCAACGGTCTGAGGGACAGTGAACTGGCCCCCTGCTTAAAAAGTTTGAGGACCCCTGATCTAAATAATACTATCAACCACCTAATTTAATTGATATTATAGAACATATTCACCTAACAATTAAAAACACATATTCTTTTCAACTGTACAGGGTACATTCACCAAGACAGACAATATACTGGGTCATAAGTCTCAATAAAATTGAAAGGATTGAGATCATGAAGAAGATATTTTCTGATCTCAATGGAATTGAAGAAATCAGTAGCAGTAAGATATTTAGGGAGAAAAACAAAATCGGCTAATGAGACAATATACATCTGATAATTCATGGGTCAAAGAACTCAGAGGAATCAGAAAGAAAATAATTAGAATGAATGATAATAAAATATATTAAAATTTTCAAGATGCAGCTAACATAGTACTTACAAAAGAGTAAAAGAAACCCAAACTAAATAGAAAAAAGGAAATAATATAGAAAATTCAATGAAATAAAAAACAATTGAGAAAAGTTAACAAAGCCAAATGTTAGTTTTTTAAAAATCACATCAACAAAATTGATAAACTCCTACTCACACTGATCAGGAAAGAGACAACAGAAATTACCAGTATCAGAATGAAAAGGAAGTTATCACCACAGCTTCTATAGACATTAAAGGGATAAGAAAAGATTATTATAAATAACTTTATGCCTACAAACCTAATAACTTGGGTCAAACGGATAAATTCCTTGAAAATACAATTTACCTAAATGATATAAGAAAAATAAAAAAATCTGTATTAAATAAATTAGATTAATTATAAAAATTCTTCCCACAAAGAAAACTTCAGGCCCAGATGGTTTCACACATTCTATAAATGTAATAATGAAAAAAGGGATAGATTGTTAAAAAGTTAGCTTTTAATATAAACAGGAATATAAGAGTCCACATTATGCAGGTTATGATGCTAGTCTATAAAGAAATAGGAAATCAGCTGTGATGAAATTCATTTCTTCTTCCCTTTCAAAGGCTTGGCAAACAAAGCTGGGTCAATTTGTTCCTTTGCCAGTCCTCTGACAGAGAAGAGTCTTGCTGCCCGCTCCTGCAGAGTGCCCCCGCACTTCAGTCCCAGGGCCATCAGTTCCCACTTGAGCTTCTCCAAACCCAGCAGCTCCAGGTCTGCAACAGAGCTGAACGCCAATAAATTTATAGTTTCCTTACCAATAACCTGAGGGAAAAAATGAGAAAATATTTAGAACAGGCTACTTCTTCTGAATAAAATACTTTAACTGTCAACTACATTCTATTTTTAAAGGGATTTTCATTTACCATATCTTGCTACTGAATTTTAATAACCATCTAGACGTTATTCCATGGGTATTCTCAATATACACAATCAATAAACTAATTTTTCATCTATACATTTAGAAACAAGCATTTGAAATAATAACAGAAGTAGAGGATTCCTGAACAGATTCTTAAAATCTGACTTTTCCAGAATTTTAACAATAAAATACCCAGCCTATCCCTACAACAGTATTACCAAAGAAAACAGGAGGCACCCTAAAGCTTAATTCTAATGAGATTACCATGCCTCTGAATCTATTAATTCCATAATCCTAATGTTTTCTATTCTAATAATTAAGATTGTCAGAGTTCTCATATAACTCAAATTCAACTGATGTTCAATAGATCTGCAACTGTTCTATCCACCAAGTACCTTTACAGACTCTAAAACAAAATCAGGGCGGGCGTGGTGGCTCACACCTGTAATCCTAGCACTCTGGGAGGCCGAGGCGGGCGGATTGCTCGAGATCAGGAGTTCGAAACCAGCCTGAGCAAGAGCGAGACCCCATCTCTACTTAAAATAGAAAGAAATTAATTGGCCAACTAATATATAGAGAAAAAAATTAGCCAAGCATGGTGGCGCATGCCTGTAGTCCCAGCTACTCAGGAGGCTGAGGCAGGAGGATCAGGAGTTTGAGGTTGCTGTGAGCTAGGCTGATGCCACGGCACTCTAGCCCAGGCAACAGGGTGAGACTCTGTCTCAAAAAAAATAAATAAATAAATAAATAAAATTAAATTTAAAAATAAGACAAAATTAAATACTTCTCATAATGCCCAGCAAAGAATGAAAATGTTTACATTTAGGTGGTTTTTTAAAAAAATGTATTCAAAGAACTGTAACTTTCTCTCACACTAAATTATTTTTTAAAATAGTAAAGTGTTCTGGGGCCAGACTATTTCTCTTTCTAATTGATCTTTGTTTTTTTAAAAAAACTATACTGTTAGATTTCTGGAGTGAACCTTGGCTTCATTATTTATGGCCAAATCTAAAACACCACCTAGGTGTTTCTGAAAACTCACACCTAGTCATTAAGATTACAACAATTATTATTACAATACCAATAACAAAATTTCCATGGTTAACACTGAAAATCAAGTATCAGGTTTTATTCTATTCTTTTATTCATTTTTCCAAGACTTCAGTCAGGATAAATCTCCCAATGTATATTTAACATAAAAATTACATGCTTACAACTCCAGAGATGATGTGAGAATCAAATCAAAGCTGTTAGCATAAAAGATTCCAATATCCTCTCTAGAAAGGGCAATCTATGGATTTCTGCTTATTTAGTGGAGGTAGGGGAAGGTGCTAAACAAATAGGCTTTGTGTTTATCAAAGGAAATCAAGTAATTTAGGTTTCACCTATGCTAAAAAGCAAGAATAAACATTAAATATTTTGCTGGAAGTCAGTCATTGAAAATATCAAATAATCAATTATTTAAAAGTATATACAATGAAATGACTTTTCATTGTATATACACTGAAAATGACTTTTAAAAAAGGCTGAATGTGGGACTTAAGATTTAATGATAAATTAAAAAGGAGTGATTCCTCTTCTATAGGAAGTATCTTCATATCCAGCTGACAATTAAACAAAAAGCAAACAAAAACAATCTTTGAGGCACAAGGCCAGCTTCCCCATCATCTGTATTTCTTTTTTTTTTTTTGAGACAAGGTCTCATTCTGTTGGCCGGGCTAGAGTGCCGTGGCGTCACCATAGCTCACAGCAACCTCAAACTCCTGGGCTCAAGCCATCCTCCTGCCTCAGCCTCCCAAGTAGCTGGGACGATAGGCATGGGCCACCATACTCGATTAATTTTTTCTATATATTTTTAGTAGGCCAATTAATTTCTTTCTATTTATAGTAGAGACGGGGTCTCACTCTTGCTCAGGCTGGTTTCGAACTCCTGACCTCAAGCAATCTGCCCGTCTCAGCTTCCCAGAGTGCTAGGATTACAGGCGTGAGCCACTGCATCCGGCCTATATTTCTTAATATTAAACAAAGCCTTTCACTAAGCAGCTGATAGGAAAAGACACATTTTTATTTTGATGACTTATTATGAAGATTAAACTGACTTGGCTCTAGACATCGACCCCAAACATTACTTACTGTATTTCCCGGCTGGCTTCCCTCCAGTTTGGCAATGGGAACTTTTTCCTTCTCTTCTCCAGGTACTACGTTGGCAGCTCTTTTCCCATCAGTCATTTCTTTTGTCTCTTTATCCCTGTTTAGTCCAGCCTCACCTGCTTCCTTTTCTATGGGTTCTTGACTCTCTGCCTTCTTTCTCTCCCAGGTCTCTTCTGTTTCTAAAACGATCATCTTGTTTTCCGTGTGCTCGTTGGTAGATGTCTCCCCTAGCCCAGCACACAAGTCTTCTGAAATATCCTTTCCAGAGTCAGTCACTGGCATTTGCAGTTTTTCTGGTGATCTAAACTCTGTACTCACTACTCCCACCCTCTGAGAACTACTGGGAAATTCGCCTGACTTCTTGATGCCATCACTGCCAATTTTTGAAGTGTGGAAGCTCATTTCTGAAGTACTAGGTGCTTCTTCACCGTCATCTTCTGAGCTCTCAGAACTGGACTCTTCTGCAGTTCCCAGTCCTTCCATGCCCAACCTGTCAGAGCAACAGAGAGGTTTAACACTGTTTATGACTTCTCTGTAAAGCAAAGAGTTCCAGTTTTTCCAGGAAACAGATTCTGCCTAGAAAAAAAGTAGAAGCTTAAGATGGAAAGTAGGTAAACTTTAGAGGTACAAACAAAAGGAAAAAAAAATCAATGAGTTTTCCCCTATGTTACATTAATTTCAACTGTTAGAAATTAGATAAAATAGGGCCGGGCATGGTGGCTCACACCTGTAATCCTAGCACTCTGGGAGGCTGAGGGGGGAGGATGGCTCGAGGTCAGGAGTTTGAGACCAGCCTGAGCAAGAGCGAGACCCTGTCTCTACTAACAATAGAAAGAAATTAATTGAAAACAACTAAAAATATATAGAAAAAATTAGCCAGGCATGGTGGTGCATGCCTGTAGTCCCAGCTACTCGGGAAGCTGAGGCAGAAGGATTGCTTGAGCCCAGGAGTTTGAGGTCGCTGTGAACTAGGCTGACATCATTGCACTCTAGCCCGGGCAACAGAGCGACACTCTGTCTCAAAAAAAAAGAACGAATGAACGAACGAACGAAAGAAAGAAAGAACGAAAGAAAGAAATTAGATAAAATAATCAACAGTTACAAAGAAAAGAAAATCCTATGCTTTATTCATAATCGCTGAAGCCTGGAAACTAGGCTAGTGTTTATCAAATGGAGAATGGAAAAATTGTTTGCAACAATACTCAGCAATAAAAAGTAATGAACTACTGAAGCATTGTACTACCGTGGATGAATCTTTGTTTTTTGTTTTTGAGACAGGGTCTCACTCTGTCAGGCTGGAGTGCATTGGCACAATCATAGCCCATTATAACCTTGAACTCCTGGACTTAAGTGATCCTCCCATCTCAGCCTCCCAAGTAGCTGGGGACTACAGGTGTGTACCACCAAGGCCAGCTAATTTTAATATTTTGTAGTGAAGGTCTCGCTATATTGCCCAGGCTGGTCTTAAACTCCTGGCCTGAAGCAATCCTCCCACCTCAGCCTCCTCAAGTGCTGGGAGTGAAGGCATGAGCCACCATGCCTGGCACATGGATGAATGTTAAAAGCATTATAAGCATTACACTACGTAAAAGAAGCCAGATACTAAAGGCTATATGACATCCTGAAAAGACTAAACATAAGAACAAACATCACATCTGTGGTCAGTAGTTTCTAAGGTCTGTAGGTGGGGGAGGGGAGTTAACTACACAGGGGCACACCACAATGATTTAGGGTGATTAAAATACTGTATATATCAATTGTGGTGGTGGTTCCATGACTATTTATTATACATTTTTCAAAAGTCATAGAAAAAGGGTGAATTTTACTATATATAAATTATACCTCAATAAACCTGATTTAAAAAACAAAGGTAGGCCGGGCGCTGTGGCTCACGCCTGTAATCCTAGCTCTTGGGAGGCCGAGGCGGGCGGATTGCTCAAGGTCAGGAGTTCAAAACCAGCCTGAGCAAGAGCGAGACCCCGTCTCTACTATAAATAGAAAGAAATCAATTGGCCAACTGATATATATATAAAAAATTAGCCGGGCATGGTGGCACATGCCTGTAGTCCCAGCTACCAGGGAGGCTGAGGCAGAAGGATCGCTCGAGCCCAGGAGTTTGAGGTTGCTGTGAGCTAGGCTGACGCCACGGCACTCACTCTAGCCTGGGCAACAAAGCGAGACTCTGTCTCAAAAAAA